TCTATTGATGGCTGATGTGTCTGAGTGCCAAGCTTCCAGGAATTCCCTAGCATTTTTGGATATGGCTTTTTCTAGGATGCTCATAGTTTCCCAGATGAAACTATGGTTGAGTCTGTCTATGTGTTGTGAGATGAAGGAGTTTTCATCGTGTCTTCTGACTGCTAGTTGGTGTTTATGGATGCACTTTACTAGTTTTCTGCCTGTCTGTCCTACGCAGTGGCTATTACAGTCCTTACCCTGTATGTTGTAGATGACTCCTGTTTTTTCTTCTTGGGCTACTGGGTCTTTTGGTTTGCTTAAGATGTTTAGTTGGTTTGTGTGCTGCGGTGATGCCCTGTAGTTGTAATAGTCTGTTGGTTGTTTCTGAGGTACGGCAGTGTTATCCTTTTCATAGCTTGTGCTGATTGTGATGTAGTGGGTTGAGTGGTCAGGCATAAAGTTGCTTTTTTTTTTTTTTTCATTAATCAATCCGCTTTCAGTTGTGACCGATTCTACAGAGACTGCCTGGACGAGTCCCTACAGTTTTCCTGGGAAGGTTTTTTTGGAAGTGGTTTGCCATTGCCTCCTTCCTAAGGCAGAGCCCAGCTGGTGGTCGCAGGAAATCAAGTCTGTTCCATTGCATTGCGTCCAGCAACCAGCAACCGATTCCTGTTTTCCCGTGCACGCCGCCGCCAGCATTTTTCCTCCCACCAGGGTGAGAGTACCTATTTATCTACTTGCTTATGCTTTTCAGCTGCTAGGTGGGCAGGAGTTAAGGGTGCAAGACAGGAGCTCACCCCGCTGCGTGGACCTTGGGCTCAAACTGCTGAAGTGTTGACCATTTCTGGCCAGCAACTTCCAGTGTCATTAATCCACTGTGCCATCACGTCCCTATAAAGTCGTGTAGGTATCCATTTTGTTGGAAGATGTTGTATAGGTGATCTGTTTCTTTTTCTGATGTTCTGGGTTGCTGCAGTCCGTTTGTGCTTGTCTGAATAATGTGCTTACACAGCTCCTCTTGTGGGAGGTTGGGTTGTTACTTTGGTAATGGAGCACTTGGTTAGCGTGGGCTGTTTTTTGATAGACTGTATCCATTTTGTTGGAAGATGTTGTATAGGTGATCTGTTTCTTTTTCTGATGTTCTGGGTTGCTGCAGTCCGTTTGTGCTTGTCTGAATAATGTGCTTACACAGCTCCTCTTGTGGGAGGTTGGGTTGTTACTTTGGTAATGGAGCACTTGGTTAGCGTGGGCTGTTTTTTGATAGACTTGTGTTTCTAATTTGCCATTGTTTCCAAACAGTAATCTAAGTTTCCATGTTCACAATCTCATCATACAAAGCTCCATCAACTGAATGAGCAAAGGTGGCAAGTCCTCTTCCTCCTCCATTACTTTTTGTTCCCAGGGTTCAGAATGCTTCATTAGGCCAACAAATACATTTATCTTAAAGGGAGCCAAAGAAATCTCCCAAAATATATTCTTAGATGCTCCTGCAGGTTACAGAAGTTGGAATTATGTATTTGGTAAGCATCATAATGGGGAACCAGTTGGAGTGACATGCACTCTGCACAAATTTAAAGACTTAATCCGTCAAATCCTTTCATTCAAATATTCCTCCTGCGAGGAACTCAGCTTCCCCACAGTCACTAGAGCTGCGCTGAGCTTTGGATGCAGAGCTTAAAGGTGCTTCAGAGTGTGCAGGGGTGCACATGGAGAACCTGTCTGCAACTTCTTAAAGCAGATGTGTCTTTTCCTAGGATCATGTGGCTGCTCTCCACAGCTACTGTGGGACTGATTTAAGGACTTGCAGACAGGTGCTATGTCAGTTGCCTCTGCACTCTTCAAAGTAGCTTTTGCCCTTGGATCTAAAGTGCCATACAGCCCTGTTTAGAATTCTTCTTGAGGAATCTGACATTCGTTGTTTCCTTAAGACCATCCAAATCAGATGCATGCTTATTCAGTCCACTCCATGGGGCTTACATCTAAGCAGATACGCACAATGAAACACTCCTCCACCACAATGGGATTTCCTCTGACTTTCTACATACATATATTCTCATCACAATATTTTCTGGAGTAAACAATAGTATGCAAAGCACAGAAATAATGTTAAGTAATGGTTTTCCATTAAGAAAGAAAATTTACGCACACTTTCCCCCCTAAATTTCTTTAAGCACCCTGCTCTGAGATGACAATACCTTCAACACACCCTCTGCATAACTCAGAAACTCAAATGGAACTAAACTCAATATAGCTTATTGTTGGAACAGAATAATTAGTATTAATTTGCACATCCCAAACACCTGTCTTCCATGCTCTCTCTCTCTGTCTCTGTCTCCCTTTCTCATACATTCTTCTTTTTCACACAATCTGTTAAAAAAAAAAAGTTCAATGCCATAGTATTGGAAGACATTTTTTTCCTTTCTGGCCTTCATATAGTAAATAATGCATTTAAGAGAACTACAGCTGCGGTTTTTCCTGAGGGAAACCTAAGTTAGAAATGCATTCTGAGCAAGTTGCACTCGGGACACCACAGGAATTCACTTCCATTGAAAGAAGCTTTTTCTGCTTTAATTGTATTACACTCCATGGGGGAATTTAAGGATATTTATACAGATGGATATCTTGGAATGATCTTGAATTCTAAAAATAAGTTACAAGGAGGGGAGGGAAGGGAAGGTTTCCCCTAAAACAAAACAAAACCAAACAGTAATGATCCATATGAAAAATTCATATTTTGACCCAATCTGGAAGAATCTGCATCAGATTGGTCCACTGGTGTTGGCTCCCCCCTTCTTATGTACCATATTTCCTGAAGTGAAAATACTTTTATTTTTTCAGCAATGGAATGAATGGTGTAATTGTGAAAAAAATCACACTCTTAAAAAAAGAGATCTGACGTAATTGTAGCTTTGTTTGGATCTATTTTCAGCTTGGTTAGAGATTCTTTCCTCTGAAAAGCTGGGAATGAGGCCTTGAACCTTTACGGAACTATTGATTTGTAGAGTTTAGGGCCTACATTAAAAATAAAGGCACTATGAGCACACTTCATAGATGCCTTTCTATGATTAAAAAAGTCATAATAAAATGGTTCCTACTTGAAACAGTTCATATGTAAAACATGATTATTTAGCCAACAAGTGAAAATACTTAGAGTTAGGGTTAAAAAGCAAAGCAAATGACACAGCTCCCTGAACCAGAAACATTAATCTTTAATAAAACCTAGCAGTGTAGCTTGCCAGAAAGGCAAGATCTTGGGCTTGCCTTCCCACCTTTGAAAAATCTTTACAAGAGCTACATAATAGTGCAAAACAAAACAAAAAGAAAAAGCTCTAAGTGATGGGAAAAGAAACTAGCTGTATTTACAGATTTGCCAAGAAGAGCCCCAACACAAGTAAGAGAGTCTTGTGGCTAAGAAGGCATGTGGTTTACGAGCCGTCCCATTTCTAACGAAAGGTCCAGATGCCCGTAGAACCTCTTGAATCATAATATTATATATCTACCCTCTGCCCATATGTTCACAGGATAGCTTCTTTCCCCCAGCGCTACCAGTTCAGTCTCTAGCAGAAATGGTAAAAGAAGGAGCACTGCTTGATTTTCTAGGCTAAAGTTCCCATGTATAGCTCATATTCCACTGGGAAAGTTGGGTTCAGAAGAACTTTGCACGTGTGCCTGCAAACATCACATGCACAGTATGAGCCATATGGGCACACAACAGTTCGCAGTGAATTCAGATGTCAGATGTTCAGAAAATATTTAAAAGGCAACATCACAGAAGATGCTTTTCTCACCTTCCTCGCATGGCACTAGTCCTTTTGAACCAAACGACACATAGAGCACTTCACTGAATTCGCCAAAAATTGCAGGTGTTCCCTTTGCTCGAACCCGTATCTCATAATCTTGGCATGTCTTCAAAGCATATATTGGAAATTTGGTAGTGTGTTTTGGATCCAGCTGTAATAATAAATTGAATGCTCCTCAATTGACTGCTGCTACTCATAAGCAAGCACATTCTTTAAGCATAAAACTATGCAAGGAGGCAGAGTTAGGATTTGGGTGTTTTGAGATTCTAGAACAGTCTTTCCTAATTTAGCCTGGTGCCTGTATTAGACTTCAATTCCCAGAATCTTTTAACTACATGTAAGAAAAAAACCCACCTGGGAAATGCTTCTTTTAGAACAATACAGAAAGGTTTTGAAAACCTGCAATCTTGCAGGTTGAATTTTATCTCAATATGTGTTGTGAATTAGAACTAAATATGTCAGCAAGTGGTTCCAATATAGTGCAGATACCCACACTAATGCTTCAATATGTGACCGTTTCTTTTTTAAGGCAGGCTGTGAACTTGATTGCGCCAGTTTATTTCCTGGACCACATGGTTGAAGTGTACATTGCTAATGTAATATAATGCTTATTTTTAAAGTATTGTCGAAGGCTTTCACGGCCGGCATACGATGGCTGG